GGGAGGCGCTGGGGGCCGGTGCGGCCCGGCCTCCCCGTGCCCCTCTCCTCGCCCCTGGCAGGGCTCACCCGCGCCTTCCGCATCAAGGAGCCGCCGAAGCCCAAGCAGGTGGATCGGTGGACGGAAAAACGGGCCTTGTTCGGGGTCTACGACAACGTGGGGATCCTGGGTAAGGCCCCGGGGCGGGAGGGCGGACCCACCTGCGGGCGAGGGGCTCCTCCAGCAGCGGGAGGGCGGCGGGGAGGCCTCCTCCAGGCCCTGGCTTCATTCATCCTCTCTGCTCCGCCCTTCTCTTCTCAGGTGACTTCCAGATCCACCCGAAGAACCTGATCGTGGGGCCCAAGTGGCTGCGAGGCTGGCGGGGGAACGAGCTGCAGAGGTGCATCCGCAAGAAGCAGGTGGTGGGCGATCGGATGTTTGTAGAGGACTACCACAAACTCAACAAGAGGATCCGGTACTTGTACAGGCGCTTCAATCGTACCGGGAAGCACCGCTAGGAGCGACCGTGGGTTCGGCATGCGGAGCGTGGTTTTGTGGCGGCATGGTCAGAATAAAGGCAGCTTTCACACAGTTGGGTCCCCGGTGCTTTCTGCAACCTTCGCTGTGCGTTTCTGGCCCAGACCCGAGGTCCTGCTGCTGCTCCAGGCCTGGGCTCCTCTCTGCCAGTTCTGCCCCCTCAGTCATTTCTGACGTACTGCTCGCAGGCATCTGTTCCAGCCTGCATCCCTGAACTTGGCCCGAGAGCCCTCTACTTTTTGGCCAGGCTTCTAGCATCCTTTTGGTCTCGCTGAGCCCCAGGTTCTCACATCCTACTTGACCATTTCAGTACACTCCATCTTAGGTTTTTTCCTCCCAGCCAAATTTTCAAGTCCGTGATAAGAGTGCCTGCCAATACCTCTTTCTGCTCGCTGCTTGCCGCCTTGCCCTCCGTTTAATTGTGATTAATATTAAGTGTGAATGATCCAAATGTCAGTTGAAATGCATCAAAACCTGTCTTTAGAACAGGATTTGTCTCTCTTTCACACTGATGATGACTTAACCCCATACGAATGGCCCTTACTGACCCAGTGGCCTTTTCTTTATAATTTAGTCAGGCTTCACAAAAGTAATTCAGGCACTTAACTGTTTTAAAAAAACTCTAGCTTCTAGTTTTCCATAACCGTTACTGGTTCCTTTAGAGGAGAAGTTGTGGTGAGTCAAAGCTGGCATCCCTCTAGTCCAGCATCACAAAGACCATTATACACTTGAGAAAAATCTGTGCGATGAGCAAACATCTGCCTCTCTCTTCTCCCTCAGTTGTTAATTGGGCTGACTTTATGTATCCTGTTACAGAGCAATGCTTTAGAAGCACTCGGTTGGAAGCGGCAGGGAACGAAAAGAACTTTCTGTAGGTCGAAGCCTGAGAAAGGCAAAGCCAAAGTCTGTGTTCAAGCAGCCGGAGTCCATGTTCTCAGGAGCAGGGTGGCAGCCCTGCGGGACTCTTGCTAAAAGGTGGTGAGGATTCAGGACATGTGGAGACTGAGGAAGCACCTGGAAGAGAGCGGCTGGGGGTTATTACACACGTAAACCACAGGTGTAGCAAACCCTTGGCTGAAAGCATGTCAGAAACTGGGAAAGTGTCAGAGAAAAGCATCTTGTACCCTTTGTCAGCTCTTAATCCCTAAGCACCAACTTGGCAAGGGCTCTGTGGGCCCGTAGTTCCACAAGCTCCATCTTCTGTTATTGCAATGGTTATTGGAACAGCCCTCAACCTGCGGCGGGAAGGTCGCCAAGCTACGGACGCTTCTTCCAAGACTTGTCCCTTCGCAGCTTCTCTGAAGGCACAGCTTGAAAACCTTCAGTTCTGCTGAGGCTAGCGCTAGGTTGCTCCTTAACCTTCAGCAGTCCTGTCTGCAAACCATCTGCCTGTAGTCACAACTCTGTATTAAGTCTTTACCTTCCTTGGAGTTGTGGTCTTTTGGCTCCCAGGCTGTAATTTAGAATTATAGACTTGTTTAGGTTGGAAAAGACCTTTAAGATCATCAAGTCCAACTGTTAACCCAGCACTGCCAAGCCCACCACTAACCCATGTCCCTCAG